GTTTTTGAATAAAGATTGAATTTTACAAAAAAAAGCTCAGAACTTTTTTGTACACCTAATAGTATACACGGTCAAGCTTGCTTCACCTACGTGATCGGCTGAAATCAGATACTAAAACAATAGTATAATTAAACTTAGAATTTTGTAAAAATATAACAGATCTTCGATCAGTAATTGTTATCACATTGTCATAAAATTCAAATAGTCTCAATGTTAATGTCCTGATAGCGTGGATAATTTTTGTAGATAATTTAATTAAATACATAAAGGAAAATTATATGTTATATGTTATATGTGAAGATTATATGTTATATGGATTTTTAATATCATGTTCCATGTGAGTAGTGTTTATAAATTTACGTATACATTCTATTTACTCATTTATATATTTATTGATCGTTAAATACATAAGATATTTTTCTTATTCGATATATGTTTTCTTGTGTTTGGTATAATCATTTATATACAATCAAATACGAATAAATAAGATGCAATAAATTTTTAATTTATTTATAAGTATATATTCTCAATTTTTATCATAAATAATCATCTGCAAAGGATCTAAAACTTCCAATTAAACTTTGTATATGATCCATGACAGTTTCATAAAACATCTGTAATTTATCCATACACTCTCCATAAGATTTGGTACTATCTCCATTAGAGCTCCATCATGGAGATAGTATAGATCTTCATGAGAGACTTATCTGACTTTCATCATAGAGATAGATGTCGCATAGAGGCCGTGGAGATTATATAGACCTCTAATGGATGTCATATTCCGTGTGGGACCATCTACGTGAAGGTTCGCTGGATGGCTAATGAACATCCATGATGGAATCCTTGAAGACCGTCCACCGTGGAGGTTCGCTGGATGGTTAATGGATGTTCGCGATGGAATCCTAGAGCACCATCCTCCGTGGAAGTTTGCTGGACGGCTAATGGATGTCCACAATAGAATTCTAGAGCATCGTGAAGGTTCGCTGGATAGCTAATGAACGTCTATGGTAGAATCCTAGAGCACTGTCCACTGTGGAGGTTCCCTGGACTTTCAATGAATTATCTAATTGTCTATCTAATTTCCATCATGGAGATGTTCGATGGAAGTTTAATGGAGTCATGAAGGTTCAATGGACGTCCACTGGAGGTTATGTTCTATGTGGGATACTTGAACACGAGATACTAGAAAGGATATTAACCGATCAAGGCACTAACTTTGTAAGTGAGATATTTAAAAATGTGTGTCGACTAATGAAAATTGACAAAATACAGACAACAGTCTATCATCCCGAAAGTATTCCTTGAATATATGCATCGAACACTGACAGAGTACCTTCGCCATTATATAAACGCTGATCAAACAGATTGGGACGAATGGATACTGTACGCGATTTTTACCTTCAATATTACACCATATACGGCAACGGAGTAAACGCCATTTGAATTAGGACACCATGCTACCCTACCGTCAGCCCTAACCCCGCCAAAATTGTCGTATACCTATGACAATTCAGGAACAACAGAAACTAAAAGAACGACTATGAGCAACAAATCAAATCGCAAAGAAACATTTAAAAGAAGAAAAACAAAAGACAAAAGAATATTGTGATAAAAAAGTGAAGGAAATAAAATTTAAAGTAGGACAAAGTATTGTACGACGAAGCATTACGCGGGAGATCAAAAAAGCTTCATTATGGATAGGTCCGTATGTAATCATAAAAAGAATTCTGATAATCTGAATTCTGTAAACTATACATTAAAAACTGGACGTAAAAAATTGCGGATGCACATAAATCGATTAAAAGCAT